AGTTTGGGGGCTCTGATGGCAAATGCTCTGTCACCTTTGTTTTTCTTAATCTCGTTTTGGGAACCAAGGAAAGCTGCATTTAAGGGCCTCAGGGCCGTGGAGGCACATGGGGGATTAAAAGGTTAAAGTTAAGGCATCAAGTTATTGCATTTTAATCGTTCCATTGGGGCAGTTACTTAGGGCACTACACAGTGCATACATTTTACAATTCAGACTCTCAACAAAATGGTAGTCTTATTGCTTTTGAAGTCACTTTTGATATCTCGCCTTTGTTGGCTCACTAAAGTTTTATCACCAGAAACTTTGCACAAGATGCTATGAACTGTTTAGTATGAAAACTCCACTGTGAGAGGGGGTAAACAATTCTTATCGTATCGTCATAAGAAGAATGTGTTATTAATCAACATGGTTTGTCATTAACAAGAAGTTTCCTTTCTTATACAGTAGCAATTGTCATGACAATGAAACTTTCTTTATTACAATGACAAAAATTTATTTTCCCTTCCTCATGCTATATGACAGTTTATACGTGTATGTGTTTATCCAGTCTGGTCCACTCTGGCCCTGACCGGGGGTCACCTCACTCCGGCACAGAGCTGTTCTTTGCCACTCGGACTGGCACGAGACTCGGCATCGAGACTCACCTGTTCCGGGCTGAGACCACCAAGGATCTGTCCCTGTGGACCAGACATATAGTGAACGGATGTCACGCCTCAGCTGAGATGATCAAAGAAGTCACTACGAGTGAGTACTGATACATAACACATTAACCATGAAACTATACTCAGATTTAGTAACTCAAAGTATGGAGAAAGACATAGAAACACACACACTTGCATGAACAGAGACAGGAACACACACACAAACATGTATGGAGTTAGCAGCCCAGGTCAGTGTGCTGGATTCTGAGTTGCTTCCTCAGATGTGTTCAGGCATGCTTCAGCAAAACATATCCATCGAGATTTAAGAGGCTGCAACGGTAAGTACTGCCTGAGGTTTTGCGAGCCTAAAATAAAGTCTAAATCCAACACATGAAGCCAAATGTATACATACACGCATACAAACTCCCATGTCCACTCATACACTGAGCTAGAGGAGGATTTGTGATATAATTTGACAACCATATGGAAGATGTGGACAAAGCACTTGCTATTTATAGAATGGAATGCTATTCTATGTGTGTGTGTGTGTGTGTGCGCATGCTGTTTGACATTGGGATTGGCCATCCAGGGAATTCCAACAGAATACCCCCCAGAACCACCACCACCACCTTTCTCTCTCCCTCGCTCCCTCTTTGCTTCCCTCTTTCTCCAGGCTCAAAATGTCCTGGGAACTGCACTTCTCCCTTGGGTCCCCCTCCTCTCTCCCTCTATGAGAACACTGTGCCAAATTAAGTTTCACTTCAGACTCCACTCATACAAAACAGCGTGTATCCAGCAGCAAATGATACATGAGCCCTACACTACATCCTTGTTGTCAGGGCTGTTTCTACATCATTGATTGCCTCAAGACTCTTGTTAAAACTCTCCTAAATGGTGTCTATACTCATTGATCCAGGTGTAAATGATACGCTGTGATTAGCATAGCAAGCCTTCATTCACGTCTGCAGCGCTCATTTTAAATTTAACACTCCAAGGTTGTTTGATAAAAATCAGATTTTGTATGTCATGGTAGTTAGCAAGGAAATGTGACAGTTAAAACAACGTCTTATTTAATCCCATGACAAAACGCTGTCTAGACTGAAGCTAGCTGCACAGTGTCGACATGCTGCAGCTTAAATGTGGCAGTGAAATCAGCTGCTGTATTGGTGCACCAGCCCTACCCACCTTCTCCCTGTGCAGAAGCCCATCAACCAGGATGAGTGAAAACCTTTAGTTCTGTTTTTCTCCATACAACATATGTGTCATATCGTCTGGTTAAAGAGCTACGCTAACTTGCACTAGCTTTTGCAGTCTGTTATTTGCTTCTGGGCAGGAAGCGTAAGAGCCGTAAAACCAAAACAATAAGCTAAAAGACGCTGAAATGATCCACAGAGCTCCGAGGACTTTCTGAAGTCACTACAAGTGACACTGTTCATATAAACATAGTCATTTGATCCATTGCAGATATAACAATATTAACTAGTCCATAGCCATGCTTGCAGCTCTGTGCAGCTGTGCCTAGGCACAGTGGTGCTTTGAGCAACATGCTAATGTTTAGGATTTTACCATATTCACCAAAAATACTAATAGTCATAATGTCATTAGTTTTTCGGGTATTAGTCATAAAACAAAGTATTATAGCGTACAAATAGAATTTCTGACCTGTTGATGGAGCTACAGTAGATCTAGCTACCAGGAGTTCACCAAAGATCATCCTGATTGATGTCTACAGCAAATTGAACAGCAGTACATCCACCTCATGTGCTAAATGTGAGGAATCACCAAAATCATTCATCCTCCGGGGTTCATGAACGCCGGTACAGAATTTCATGCCAATCAATTCAATCGTTTTTGAGAGATTTCAGTTTGGACCAAATTTGTGGACAGACAGAACAACGTCACCATTCGTAGAGGCATGCCTCTACATAAAAATATTTGTTACAGCAGCTTTAATTTTGTACTGTGATACTGATTTGGAAAACAGGTCGGTGACACAGGCCAAAAGAATAAGAAAAAATGGGAATGGTTTTTAATATTTATTGCTCAATATTCTGTCTGAAATGGATCCCATAACTTTTCTGAAACAGATTGATGTTAGCACCAAGCCCTCAGTTTCTCGTTATGGAAGTAGAAAAGTAATTTACACTTCCCCGAGAAGGAGTGTGATAATGCATACAAAGTGCATTCACTCATTTTTCAGCAGTTGCCACCTGAGGAGTCGCTGTGCTGACCTTGTCAGCTTTTCATCTGTGTAACATTCTGATAAATCATTGTGATGGTTTATTCACTGTCAAGGCTCGTGATAAAGATTTGCTTTGAAGATAGATCAACTCGCAATCACTCACTGGGCAGCAGGCCATTCTTAGAGGGATTTTAAAGGGGAAAGTAATTTGTTCAGCTCTGAAATTAAATTTCACAGGCACTTGGCCTGCTGTCATTTCTGTTATTATGATGTCCAAGGTGACTTAAACTTTTCTTTCAGAGGTTATATTGATATTTTGAGCTGTTAGCAGAATAAGGCACTGCATAATATGTAGTCACAGCATCAAGGGCTAATCCCTGTTTATACGCACAGCATATCTGTTCTCCTTTTAAAACATTTGAAATATTGGTTGAGAAAACAATCTCACCACAAGGTCTGCCCAGCTTTGCCAATGAGCTTTTGCCCATTGATCATTGTATTGCAGATATTAAAGTTTCTCTTTTTTAGCACTTACATGAAATAGATTTTGGTAAATACGCTTTTTCCTGCATAGATTTAGATGAAAAGATGGATTCCACTCTCATGTCTTTTTGCTGAGTTACCTTACCCTAACTTTCCACAAAGAGTGGAAATGGCAGGGAAACAGCTAGCTACTCTCACTGCTGTCCAAAGGGAACAAAATCTGCCCTCCAGCACCTGTGACTGACATTTTATTTCTGTCCTGTTCAATCTGCACAAAAACCAAAGTGTAAAAACCTCAAGTCAGTCATGGTTTATGGGTCTCGTGTGCACACAGTCTTTATGATTAGCTACATTAACCACTGCTCAAAACCCCCAGAACAGCTACTAAATGAACCTTGTGTTGTTTTCTCAACTGCTGTGGCTGAGTTCAAGAATAAACTTAAAGAAATAAAGAATAAACCACAGAATAAAAACATTATTTTATAACAAGCTTCAGGATTATGTATTTAAAGTCAGTAATCCCACTTCTCCCTGCACACCCACAGCCTGCTCTGTAATGTTATTGTCAAAGGTGACAGCCGTAAAAACGTGTTAAATTGTCTTAGAGGTCGACTGGGTCTTCTTAATGAACAGGTAAACAACTTAATGACTTTAAAAAAGCAATTCTACCTCAGTGGTTGTGCAAAATTAACCTAGTAACCTGCTGTGACATTTGTGAAGTTTAGCACATTGGGATACATTTTCAAACTATGAAGTACTTTACCTGCTGCTAATGTCATTTTTAAGTTTACAGCAAATGACAAATTGCTGTCCTGTAATAACCTTTTAGCGTTTCCACTTGTGATGGTAACAGAGTTAGTGTCTCCCTCCTCTCTCACTAACTCTCTGACCCTCATTCATTCAGCTCCTCTCTCTGTCTCTCAGTGTTATCACTCTCTGCCCCTCCTTCCCTCCCTCTGTCTTTTCCACTCACCATCAGGCAGAAAGAAGGGCTTTTGTTGCAGTCTGAAAAGCCCCTTTCTCTGTGTGTGCCTGTTTGTGTGTGTGTGTATGTGTGTATTCTGGTGGGAAACCCTGCTTGCCCCACAGATCAAGCCTCTCAGGTAGAAGAGTAGAGTTTCAGGTCTAATTTTCACGTCTGAACACAACAAAGACCTGGCACTCTTTGCCCCATTTACAACTGTTATGCCATTAGGGAGACGTTTGTCCGGCCAGATTGTTTATACATCATTAGAATGATATTACACATTATGAGACTCATTTTTCATCATGAATGGGATGTCTTCAGGGTTCCCGGGATATTACACTTTATATTTGACTGTGTGTGTGAACGCCTCATTCTTCTATTTGATTTACAGTGTCCTTCTTATCATCATTACTTCCTGAAGTTGTAATCAACACACCTCTGTTGTTTTAGTGTTGCACAGTTGATAAGGAGGGGGGAAATTACTGTAATATACTGCTCTGCTCCTGACACAAAGCAGGAGTCTAAAATCCACTTACTACTATATTGGTGGCTTACCAACACCTCACCTTATCAATGGTGTTTCAAGCCTATATTGCCTCTGTGGTATCGCTATCCAAAAATATGCAGAATGTTGTATATTATAATAGATGATCGATTCAATGCAGTACTTTTGTTACAGGTCAAACAGATTATATTAGGCAGGATAATTGAAAGATAATTATTAATATTTTTCAGTCTATGATATTCCTGGAGCTCAACTTGAGAGAGATTCTGTTCTCTTTCAAAGCAGCTAACTTGTGTTTGACAAAGAAAGTTCAGGCAGAAAAAAATTACCTTTTTATAGAAAACAGTTACACGGTGAGACTTCGTGGGAAAGGCCCTCAACAAACAGATACATGAACATTAAATGTAAAAAATAAAGCACATAAGCAGTAAGATGAGGTGGCAGAGAAAGCTGGCAAAAAAAGTATCAACAGATTAATAGTGAAAAGGTTAGATCAGTTATAATGGCTGACAGTCAAGCAGCTGATAACTTTCCTGCTCTGCCTGAACTAAAGCTACGCTCCATTTATACTTGCCTTGCGCTCGACATGAATAAATCTGCCGTTTTTGTTGGGTTTATTTCAGTTTACTTTATCAGTGCACCTGTAAGAAGAATGACTTTTACAGCTGAAAACTTACCTAATAACCTAATATGACCCACCTCTGCAGCAGTATTTGGAATGTAAAAGTGTTTCATTATTTTGTTTCTGCTATACAAAAGTGAGATAATGATGTAAGGTTTTCATAAATGTTTAAAATGTGCACACACAATGAGATGCCAAATCTAGACAATCTAAACAATAACAAAATCAAAATCTATTTTGCTTGCGGTTGTGTGACTTGATTATATTGTTGTGCAGTACAAGCCTTCCATCTGCTACTCTGTGCAGGGTAAATTAAACTCACAAGAATTATTTGCGAATAGCATTTGACCATTTTGTGTGTGTGTGTGTGTGTGTGTACACATTTGCCTCTGTTGGTTTCATAATCGCCTTTAGATAAAGAGCTAAACGAGGAATGGATAGGGTGATTAGTGTGGTTTGACTGACGACATGGTAAAATAGTCAGAGAATTGGTCTGTTGACAGTCGGACAAAAGAAAGCAGGCCACAGTGAGCAACAACACACACACACACATACATATATGTAAACACACATGCAAAGGTATTCTGTAGCCCACAGAGGGAGGACACACATGCTCATATATGCATCTCCATGTCTCTTTCACATTTAGACACAAATGTACTCCTTTTCCTCATCAACATAGGGGCATTACACACACTCTCTCTGCTATATTCACACACACACTGCCATCCCTGTACATGCACACACATCCTGCTCAGGCTGTCAGCAAACAATGGAATAATAACAACTCTCCTCCCGCTCACTGTGTCACACAAACACGCCACTCGGTAGATCAGATGTCGTCAAGAGAGAGGAGCTCATGCTGTAAATGAAGTTTTCAGCATGCAGCCTTCATGTCTACCGGGGGGGGGTAGGGTAGAGCGGGGAAACTCTGCTGTCACGGCACTGAAAAATAAGACTAAATGCAGCTAGATCACACTGTGTGGAGACGAGACAGGTTTGTCATTACAGCAGAGGAAAGTAATGCGTAAATTGGGAGAATAGATAAAGATAGTACACTCAGCTTTCAGCCAGACACACGCTGTGAAGAGAGAGGGAAAGAAAGCGATGAGAGATGTTGTAGAAGAGATAAATTACACGGAGCGGGTTGGTCTCCACGTCAAGCAATTGTCACTGAAATGAGGTAAACTGTAATGTGTGATACGTGACACGCGTCTTAGGGCAGAATCGGGCTCGCTTTGATTAATAACTGATGTATTAACAAGAAACAATTGACAACTTGAAACAACTGTACAATATGTTTTTATAAGGAGAGCAATCCTCTGTTCTGAGATGCCAGTTTATTAGGTTCACGTAAAGCTAAAACTGTATGAGGTGTCTAACATTTAGTCTACCTCACTTATATAAATGGGGTTGACAAAATATTAGAAATACCTTAATTCTAAAGCACCACATACCTCTCTAAATTGTTAAACCTAAAACAGAACCTTATAACCTTCAAGAAAGAAAGATTTGTTGATATAAAAGTAGCGTATCATTAGTTTTAGCTTGATGTACTAATGCAACGGTTCCCAACCTTTTTCCCTTTTCTATCATTGAGTAAACTGATGACCCCTGACTAAGTGATGTATTTTATGGATATTTCAGATTGTATTCGACACATGCAGAACAACTGATGAACTGTACAATGAACCCAAATAGAGAACGCCATAACTGCAGGAATTTTGTGCAAAACAAGCAATTTAGATGAATTTTGAGCAGGTTATTTAGATTATATCCTATGAACACTGCAATCGAGATACGTTTTTCTGATATTTTTAGGATTTTTTTATATAATCCTCTGTCTGTATTATGGTTATTATATTGATTTTTAACAATTATACATACTTAATAGGCTTATTTTTTGACAAATTCAGGGTTTTCTGCTCCCTGATACTTGGCCGTTGTTCTAATGTGAGATGAGGCTGTTTAGCACTGAGTAAATATGGCTCTGTGAATATAGCTTGTGTTCAAGTTGTCTTTAAGTTCTTAAATAATAATTAAAACTTTAAAAATAAAAACTTAATTTGGTTTTCCTCACATAAATTAATGGAATTCTGAGATATAGGCCTACTATAGTATATATTTTTTAAGTTTTAGTACAACTCTTAAAATCAAGAAGACCTTGCGACCCCCCATGATGCATTGGCGACCCCTAGTGGGGGTCATGATCCTCAGATTGGGAACTAATGAACTGGTAACCAAGAGAGTAAATGAGCGGGAAAATATGGCTTGATGGTTTCAGTGGGAAATCAGTGGAAACAATATAATGTTGTCAAAATTAATCCCAAATCAATTAAAACTAATAAAACAAGTTACTGAGTTTTATGTGTTACTTGAATTAGTTCAAAAAGAGACTGTGCCAATGTCATTCATCTTTTTTATATTTATAGCATAGAAAATGAAAGCACTTTGCACAAACAACCAACCTAGTAACACAACACATTAATCATACTGAATGGCTCTGTCCTTCCAAAACAAGCCACCACTACTCATAAAAGTAAGAAGGTGAGGGATGAAATACATTTTGAAGTCCACATTGTGCATTTAAAGGTGTACTGCTACTTAGATAAACATCTGTAATTTATAGTCTAACTTTTACCTCATTGTAATTACTTATTCTATAATGCATGTACAGGGACAGATTATAAATACAGGGGAAATGAAAAACAAGGGGATTTGTTTATGACCATTTTATAAGCTAACATTCAAATCTATTATTCTTCCAGGTTGTCTATACCAAGGTCAGGAGTGTCGGCTGGTGATCCACTATGAACAGGGCTTCTCTGTGCTGGCTGACCCCATACTGGGAGACCGGGAGAACAGGGAGGAGAGAGGAGCTCACACACCTACCAGGCCCCGGGTGCTCCTCTCCTACCCCTACGAAAAATTAAAGATGTCCTCAGATGACGGAGTTCGCATGCTCATCCTTGACTTTGGAGGGAAGGAGGGGGAGATTGTGAGTGTTTGCTATGAAACAAAATATTTATAATATTTAACACAATCCCAAAAAAACGACTCACCTTTCCCATTTTTAAGTTAAGCTGAGTTAAAATATTCTTCTTTGATTCTTTACTTTTTTGTGGTCATGTACAACTCACAGTAAATAGAACAAGTTCATACCAAATCCCAGGGGGTTTCAGAGGGCCTTCTGGGAAATGAAGAAAAACACAAACAAGAGTACAAGAATACGAGAGACAGGCAGAGTGAAAGTGGTGCAGGAGAGTAAATTACACCACTTCATCACAAAATAACTCCTGAAATAAAACAAACTTCACACATACGTAGGTCTTGGTAAGAGCGTTTGAGAAAAAATTGCCTGTCACTCACTGTAAGAGTTTTAATCTGTTTTCACCACTCAGCGGCTCACTGTATGGAGGTCCAGGTGGCCCGTGTTTCAGGGAGTAATCAGGACCATTTGATGTGTATGCCTGAAAACAACCAAGTACATTCTTACTATCCAATATGTTCATCACTTCTGTTTGAAAAGTTTGAGTTTTTAGCCTCTTCTTCATCTTATTTGACAATACTGATGTGAATATCAGTGTTTTATTACCTTTACTTGTAAAGTACACGTATACATTGATGTTTCATCATTCATGAAGCCATAGCACTGTGATTTACTGTATGCTGGAAAATAAAGCGACAGTAAAAACTAAAATATTTACTCTCTAGGCTTATGGGACTCTCTGAAAACTGAGATGTTTTATATCTGCACCTTGAACTGACTGTGTAACAGCCCACAAAGAGCTCCATATAAAACTTCTGTCAGGTACACTAATGTTTGACTACTCAGATTATGCTGAAGGCAAATAAGCAAAGACTTTAGAGCTTTGATTTGAAACCCTCTGTTGGCTACCTTAGCAGAACAGATTTTGGTATCTGTAACATTTCTGAATCCCAGCACAGCCATAGTCAAAGCTTCATAAAAATCCCAAGGCACTTGCGGATGTGGCTGAAGGCTCATTAGCTCTACATTTGAAAGTGGAATCAGCTCGGTTTTTTTCAAAGTGGGGACTATACTGTCATTACTTGGCAGGGACTATGTAGGCTATGTCTAATTTTGTCACAGCAATTGACAGTTTATCTCCCCCATACAGAAAATGTATTGTGGAGCTTGGACCAAGCCAAACCGTTGATTGTGGCTTGGAAAGCATTAATGAAATACACACTTCTGCTCTGGTTGATCAGCAAGGCAAAGTCAACATGCTAATATGCTAACAATGACAATGCTAGTGTACTGCGCAAGTACAATGTTTTGTGTTGTGTGTTAGCATGCTCATATTTGCCAATAAGCACTAAATGTAAGGTGCAACTGATGACTGAGCTGACACGAATGTCATATTTTTTTCCAGCATTTGGTCATAAGCCAAAGTATTGAGATTTTGATGTGATGATAGCACTGCATGAAAACCAACGGGTGGTGAATACTCCATCCAGTAGTCGAATTGGACCCAAGCATTGGACAGACTGACAGACCAACTGACATCCTACTCCTAAAGTGGGTAGCATGGTTAAAAAAATAAATGTATTTATCTAAACTCCTGAAAATCTGACTTTTTGGACTGGTAATGATGTGTAGGTCTGCTCATATTTCATTGCACTGGGTTTGCTTGACTTCCTCAGTGTTAAATTTGACCAACTAAACAGTAGTTTAAGTGTGCTTGGTTAAATTTCCCTATAGGCTTAAGGAACAGGATGTGAGTCATAGTACCGGTGAAATCACCCACTGTTGATTCAGGCTATGAACAGAGCTTTGTTCACAGCGATGTGGTGTTTGTGTGTGTGCACACTCCAGGACTGTCTAATCCTTGCCTCATGGGGAACTGTATTGACTGTGTAGTTAGTTTTGAATATATTTTTATGGTTTTATGTGCTTACAAACTCTTTTTTTCTTTTTCTTCAGTCCCCTACCTCTTCTTCTCTCTGTCATCCCATCTGCTTCTCTGAATCTTCTATTCCCTCCTCTTTACCCTGGTCATGTTTTGTATTATTCTGTCTTGTTTTAATTTTTAATTCTGTGGTTTTTCCTTCTTCCTCCAGCAACTGGACCTTCACTCGTGTCCAAAGCCAATCGTCTTCATCCTCCACTCCTTCCTCTCTGCTAAGATCTCCCGCCTGGGTCTGGTGGCCTGACCTCTCTAAAGGGACGTTTCACCTCCTTTTAAAAACAGAAATCCACTTTGTTTTGCCGCCTCTCTGCAGCGCGCATGCAGTACACCACGTCACACCTTCAGTCGGGGACCCAAGCTGAGTGAATGTAGCCTCTATCTGGAAACTGACCTTTTTTGGGTCTCGAATTCCAAGTTAAAGAAACACTGGAGAAACCAGATTGGTTTTGCCTTGAGCAAAATTGACAGATTTCTTTGGGATAAACCCTCCCTTTAAGGGCTGCATGGACTGAAGTGTTGACTGAAGAGCCACAGAGGAAAACATGGACTGGACTAGAAGCAGAGGGATGATATTTACAGAGGGACACATTTAAAGGAGCAGATTGGGCATTACTGTCACGTCCAGGATTGGAAGGACTGGACATGTGCAGCAAGGTTGAGATGAATTCACTTTTAATTCAATCAAAATGTAATGGCAAAACTGCCTTCCATTTACCAATTATATAATTTATTTACCATTAGCTCTGAAAGGACATTCTGAATTTCACTTGGTCATTTTTCTTCAACAAACACTTGACACACTGTGGAAAAACTTTATGCATTTGTCTTTGTTAGCGTTCCCTGAAATGTCTTGTTAGCCGTGTCAGCATTCATCATTGAAACTGGGAGGCACAATTGCCCGCAGTGTCCCACAATGTGACAGCTGACTCAAATTCAAAATGTCACAGTATTTGTTTAACAGGTTGCATACAGTGACCATCTGGTGGTCAAAGTATTTCAGTGTTTGACTGATTTGACAGTTCTAATGACTTCAAATATAATTTTTCAATCAACTAACATGAATTATAAAACACTCAAGCATTCAGATTTATTGCAATCACAATCGTAGGCTCCTGTTTATCACTCAAAAGCAGGGGAAAAAATCATATCCAACATATCAAAAAGTACAATAGCTTGTTACTGCAATTTTGTCCATGACACTGGGGATCCAAATGGCATTTACTGTTGTGTTTCTGACAAATGCAACTTCAGTTTCCACAGAAATACCAGTAATCCATATCATGGACGTTCATAATGAGGATACGGATGCTAATGATTTTATATGATTTGAATTTATCACTACATGTACCATAACCAAACAATAAGGTAATATTTATAACACACTTTGACAATAAAGTTTAAAGCAATAGTTCTTTTAGAGAAATAAGCTTTTAGCCAAGAGTTAGGTGACTGTCTGAAGCTACAGCCAGTAGCTGGTTATAGCTTAGCATTGTTTAATGACTGGCAACAGAGGGAAACTATAGTCCAAAGGCAACAAATCACTTTATATGTCTTTATATCTGAATTGTGCTATAGGCCGATTTAGTTTAAATCTGGAGCTGAACATACAATAATGTTTTGAATTTCTCTTAAAGAAAATAATCTCACCACAAGGTGCATTTAGTAGCTGTTCCGGAGATTTCAAGCAGCTCGTTTTACTATTTTAGCATAAAAACTGTCACTGACACGGTCCAAGAAATAGTCTGGCACACAACCTTCCGTAAAACCACATCTTTATCTTTTTACAGTTTTACACACATTTTTTGTACAGATGAGATGTAAGGTGTTAAATAGTGAGCTTCAGAAGTGATGTTAGAAGGAATTTTGTTTTTTCCATCTTTGGACAAAGGTTAGCTGTTTCCCCATTTCTAATATTTAGCCAGCTACTAGCTATGGCCTTACATTTAATGGACAAATATGAGAGTGGTATTGGTCTTTTTATCTAACTCTCGGTAAGTCAGCAAATAAGTGTATTTCCAAAAACGTGGACAGTGAGCTGTTTTTTGCCTGATTTACCAACTGAAATCCTCTCTGAACAACTGAGCATGTTTGCCTGCTTAAATGACAAACTACAATCATATTCTACCCCATCAAGCAAATCTGCCATGAGTATTTCTAATTTTCATATTAAAAACTGAAAATCAACCTGACAGTACCACAATCACCCCATGAAGCATTACTTGTATTTTTCTTTCATTATAGCAATGTAGCCATCATAGGAGTCTTCAACTCTGCTTTAGTCTTGCAGTTATCAGTGCAGGTCATTATCTGTTTGGTCATACAGCAGATCAAATCTGTGTACTGTCTCTGACTGACGTGGCTGGCTGCCAGGTCCTTTCCTCGTGCCTTCAGATGACTAAAACATCAGAATTTTTGAAAGATATTAATCATAGAGATCACAGGGATGATTGTGGAGCAACAATGTGACTTCTACGATGGCTACTTTACTTTTGGTAATCAAACATGTTTTCAATGACCATTTACACACAAACTGTGAACAATGATTTACACATTGTAATCCTACCACTCTCTAGAAGAAATATCTGTTTTGTTGATGCTAAAAGATAGTTGGAAGTATTGTAACACTTTTGTTCAGACAAGAATCCAGCACTTACTGATAACCTCAAGTGGAGAGAAGCTTTTTGAGTAAAGGCTGCTTTGATATGTAGAATACTCTGATGCCTTCGGCAGCTACTGTACTGTCACTCAGAATGATAAAGCTTAGTTTTTAACTCAAACGGTGCACATAAATCATGTATTTAACAAAAGTGACACGATGAGTTTGTTTTTTCATTGTTTTCACTTGTCATTTATTCATTTCTCATTACCAGAAAATACAAATCAGCAGAAGCAGCTTGGGAAACGTAGGCTTGGGAGAGTTTCAATTTCACTTGTAAATTACAGCTACAATTTGTTTGCTAATGATGCTGGGTCTTAATTATTTTTTGATATAATATTATTAGTAGGATAATACGCCATTTCCTTCTTCCACTTTCAGAATTGAAATGAACTCAACCCTACTATAAACACACACATTTCTCTGCAGTGCAACAAAGACAGGCAGTATTTAATTTCAGGGGCAGCTGGGATGAAAGGTGGTGCACTAATTTACTGCATATTAGGGACACTTTGAGAAGTGTTTTATTGCCCAGCTCAGCAGAAAGGATTCATGTGTCTTTAACCAAAGATTGAGAGTAATTGAGATTTAGGCAGCGCTTAACACAATCGTAACTCTTTGACAGTGTTTACTTGGCTGCTAGGTAATGAGCTGGCATCCTTTCTCTCTCCCCCTCTCCCCCTCTCCCGCTCTCACACACATAAACATGGATGGACACATTCATGTTATTGAGGGTAAGGAGTTAAGACCTCAAACAGTCATAACTCTTGACCTTGTTTAGTAGTTGACGTTGTTTACCTGCAGATTTTCCCACCTCTTTGTGTTTATCACCGTTTCCATTCTGTTCAGGTCGTTGCTGAATCAATTCGGGCTCTCAGTGGGACACTAAACGTCTGCACATTGCAATTGTTGCATCATGTGAGAGAAAAACACAAAGAACTCTCTCCAGGTCAACTTTCCCACTGAGACAGACTGAAAGCTCTGTTTGTGCCAATCTTAAGACCTACAAACACACACAAAAATTTATATTTTTTTGTGGACATTTAAACAAACATACAATCACACGAACGTGCACGCTCACTATTAGCCAGCATTCTCATTAAGAGAGAGCGAGAGAGAGTAGAGGGCCATATTGGCAGAGATGGTCAACTTTTCATTAGCCATAAACTGTGCGTGTGTGCGTGTGTGTGAGCTAATACATGTCTATAGTTGTGCTCATGTGCACACAGTGGCACTCTATGACATGCAAATACATTCTGTTGTTTGTGTGTGTGTGAATGCAAAAGGGGCTCTGAATGAATAGCTTTTTCTCTTGGCTGAGTCTCTTGTAGCATTCCTCAGCTGTGGCAGGTCCTCACAGTCACAGGTTGTGGACTGTGTGTGTGTGTGT